AAAAAACAGAATTGATTATGTGTGAGGACATTCGGTGTGACTGTTGCATCGAAGAATTTCCACTTGGCTTTGTTTTCCCATGTGACTTTGGTAATGGAGAAGTGTACTACAAAGCGGTAGGGAGTGCACATAAGCCTTAAAAAGCAAGCCCACATCCATGGACGCCAATAATGGCGCACCGCCGTCAGAGCCCCGTGGTACCCCAGGGCCCCGTGCCGAAGATGACCAACCGGTGCAAGAGACCGGAGAGGAGGCGCAGCCTCCGCAAGTAGAGGACGCAGAAGTCCCAAAAGAGGAAAACCAGGCACTAGAAGCAGATGCTGCCGTTGAGGAGCCTGTGCAAGCAGATGCTACCGTTGAGGAGCCTGTGCAAGCAGATGCTACCGGAGGAGCCTGTGCAAGCAGATGCTACCGTTGAGGAGCCGGTGCAAGCAGATGCTACCGTTGAGGAGCCTGTGCAAGCAGATGCTACCGCTGAGGAGCCGGTGCAAGCAGATGCTGTTGTTGCAGTGGCGACCCCAGGGAGCAAGCCCCACGAGGAACTAGAGGATCTTCCAGCTCCAGTCGCCACTGCAGCGACCACTATTGAAGAAGAAGCCATGCAGCCGCAGAAACCTTCTCATGGGGCTCAGGCGGAAATTGGGGATGGAAGCCCTTCATCAGGCTTTTCGCCACCTATCTCTGCCCCTGCTGCTGCTCCCACGACGATATCTTCTGCTGCTCGGGCCCCTGTGCCCGAAGTGGCCCCTGGTGGTTACTTTGTGTACACGGAAAATGAAGTCTTTGTTGATGCCACGGTGTATCCGACGCAGTTTCGGACCGTGGTGAAGGCGCCGGGTTCCTCGGGTGGCAAAATCGCCACGAGGTTCGTGTATGAGGCGATCGCTTCCCGCCTGGGGACACATCCCGAGGCGCTAAAGATTTTCTCTGGAGGCCATCGCATTCGCTTCGGGGATACAATAGCTTTTGAGGAGGCAGCGCCGCGAGGGAATGGACGTTTATGGGTGGATGTCCACTTCGCTGAAAACGAGGTACCATCGCACCTTCACAAGCTCAGGAAGGAAGACAATCTCCTACAGTCCTTGCAGTTGCGAGCGCGGCCAGATGATATCCGCCCAGCTGACCTTGTCGCTGCCCGGCGTCGCGGCTTAGCCTTTGGTGAAGCCATCAATGAAATCCGCCAGAGAAACAAGGAAGATAACCTTGTTTCCGTAGCTGTCGTGCAAGAGCCGAGCGGCACTCAAATGCCCTTTCTGGGAGGTTATCGCCTCAAGAAGGACCCCTCGCATGTCTTTCTTCATGCGGCAACACAGCTTAGAGCGCCAGGGGATACGCGTCTGGAGGAACTGCAGCATGGCCCCCTTCCAGGCGATGGGGTTTCGCGGAGGACGCAAACGTACGGTGTCTCAAGAAGCTGTCAGACACTGCGGGAGTGTAGCACACAGACAGCGCGGCCCGACTATGAGGCGGATGAGACGTACGACGAAACTGTCGTTGCAAAGCCCTACTTCTCCTCAGTGCAAGTGCTTGCGCTACAGACTGAAAGGGTAGTGATATTGCAGAAGATGTATAGGAAATGGAAGGCGCGCCAGGTATACCTCGAGCTGTTTGCCGCACGACAGGCCTTTCTGGATCGAGCTACTGCACAGGCCGCTGCTGAAGAGGCCGAAAAGCAACGTCTGGAAGAGTTTGAGCGCAGGCGCCGTGCCACTCCACGCACCGCCGACGACTTCGCCACGCTTCGTCGTGAGTTGGAGGCATGGCGGGCGGCCGAGGCGGCGCGCATTCTCGCGGACGGCAGTCTTAGTGAGGTGGAAAAGCGTGCCGTGCTCTCAGACCTCACGAAAAAGGAACTGCTCCTTCTTCAGGAGCTCGAAACGCTCCGCCGTGAGGCCGTGCAAAACCGCCGTACACGCCGTTTTGAGGACATTCTTGCCTTGATGACAGCCCCCAAGCAGTGTGGAGTGGTGTCTGTTACCACAAGGGCCGCAGAGCGTGCGCGGGAGTTGCGTGAGTTGTACCTGGCGCTGACGGAGACACCGTCCTCCATCGAAGCCCGCCTTGACGTGCTGCTGCATATTAAGTGGACCGTGAAGGAATTTGATTCCCCGTTAACGCAGCAGATAGTAGAGCTTGTGGATCGTGAGTCTGACTTGCTGCAACGTGGCCGTACAGCATGTTCACTTAAAGGGCTGCGCACGCGTTTAGAGCATTTGTTTAAACGCTTTGTTGCCACACCGGAGTACAACCCGGCCGTGGACGAGGTCGTTACCGGTCAAACATTTGGAGCCGTTGCCGGTGGCGAAGCGGCTTCCACGGTGGCGGCACGATGGCGCCTCAAGCCGTCCGTCGTGCTGTAAAGCAAAACGAACAGCGATGCTGCGTAGCAAGTCAAACAACTTGACCTTGTTCCCGAACGAGGATGGGCAGAAGAAGGAGACATAGTGAGAGAGTGAGCGAGGAGAAAGGGCTTCCGCTTGCGAACGCAATGCAAGTCACTGAATGTACCCTAGTTACGCTGAGGAGGTTTGCGCAAGCCATTGCCTTTATTTTTCATCTCACGGATTTGGCTATTGGCAGATGTAGAAAACAGCAAGAAAAAAAAATGGAGGAAATAAAGAGAAGGGAAAATGGTGTACAGCTGCATTTTTGTTTTCCCGGGCCCACACAGTGTTTTTTTTTTGGTTATGCTTTTTTCGTGCACGCGTGCTGGCGCCTTTGTGCCTTTCAGCATCGCCTTTATCCATCGCTGCTGTAGTTATTCTTGCCGTTCCGCTTCTCCCCCCCCACCCGTTTTGCCTGCGATTCTGTTCCTGTGAAGGAAACAAGAGTGGGGGAACAGCAACAGAGGATCCGCGGCAAGCAAATGAGTTTTGCTGGCCTACAGAAGCGCCTGCAGAAGAAGGCGGCAGCCGCCGCCGCAACGGAGACAGTTGCGTCCTCCTCCCCCTCTCCGGGAGCAAAACTTGATCCCACAATTTCCGCCAGCACCGTCTACGACGTTGCTGCTCGAGAAGCACGTGTGAATTATGAGGAACGCAAACGGCAGCGTTCTCCTCACGAGGAGGCGGGGCCGGCGCGCAACGCTCCTGCGAATGATGGCGGTGGGTGTGCCAGCGTGCCGTCTGAGCGGCTTTCAGCAGAAAAGGCAATTAAAAAGCATCTAACAGAGATGGAATTTCTAGAGCGGCGACGCTTAGCCGAGGAAGCGGTGTTGCAGTGCGCGGAGGCCATGTCAAGGAGCATGGAGCCAGCATCCACCGCTAGCAGTACAGCTGGTATCAAAAGCGAGTCCGAGTTGCATTATTTAAGTGGCTTGCCAGCGCCACTGTGTCAGTTCCTTGAACGACGCCTGCAACGTTCATTGGATGCCACTGCAATGTCGATTGATGCATGTGAAGAGGAGGAGCACGACCTCCTCTCCGTGCTGAAAGTCGCGCTGAAGAGACCCAGCAACGAGCACGTGATGGTTCCTCAGCAGCTAGAGCCTCTTATCACCATCTTGCGTGTCCTCTGGCTTGCCTTGTGTTGGCATTGGGCCATGGCACTTAGCGGGAAGAAGGGAGGTGATTCTCCTGAGGAGGGGTGGTCTTACAATGTCTACCTGCTCTCAAGGCACGCGCTACCCGATCTGGTGCGCACCACGCGAGGACGTGATGTGGCGCTGGCCTTGGAAGCCTGGCAGGCCGCATATCGTGTGCGGCAAAACATGCTTGACTTCCTGGCATATATACTCCATGATGTGGGGGTGGTCGTGCGGCTATCAGGGAGTGATGGCTCAACGAGTGACGAGGAGCCACGCATTGTGCCGTTGAAGCTCGTGGACAGTATATTCCTTATGGTGCAACACTTGCGCTGTCGGGACTTTGCGGCGTGTCGCCAAGTCTATGTTGACCTTACGATGGGAACCGCAAACTGGAAATTGGGCCTTTTTTCGGGCGGGGAGGTGCACATGCGGCGATCCATGGAGCGCATCGAGCGCCGCCGCATTGAACACCTCCTCCACAATGAAAGGGCTGTACGCATTTTGCATGTGCTGCGAGAGTTGATGGATTTTGTGCAGGCGAACGAAGTGGCTTTGCTGCACTCCGGTCTCTTCGCCGCGGAAAAGTCGGGGCAAGAGCATAACTGATGATAACCGTTGCCAAGTTTCGTTCGTCACTGCAGTCACGCTCTTTTTTTCTTTTTTTTTTCTTTCTTACACGTATAACTTGTGCTTAAGTCATGACCTTGTCGTTTCACTCTTGTTGTAGTGCGATTTTGTTTCTGAATTGTTGTTGTTTCATTTCCCACTTATTTCATATCCTTTAAATTCTGTGGGCACAGACACAGGCCACCAGGGGAACACACCTGCTGAGGGGAGCCGGCGCCGCTCTGCCTCCCAACCTGTGGCACATACGAGAGGGCCCTGCCGTGGCCGCTGCTCTTTCTTTTTGCCGGCGCCACCCCCGTCGCCTCGATGGGTCTCACTGCGCAGAGCGTCCATCCCAGCCTGCAGCGCTACCTGCCTGGGCACCTGCCGAAGCGGCAGCGGCGGCTTTACACGGGGAAAAACAACAGGAAGGAGTTTGAGGTCGCCCACCTGGATGACGTGGAAAGTGAGGTGGCGCAACACCTCACTCTGCCGAGCAGGCTTGCGCAGTCGCTGCTGCCCTCCCCCACCGTGACACGTGCAGCCGTCATTGTTGCGGGTGAAACCCGACTCGGGGCAAACAATGGCTGCCGCGACAGCCCGTGGAACAGTCGCACCTCGGAACAGGTGCCCCTCAGATCTCGGAGGCATGACGGCGCGGCGCAGGTCAGGGAGACTGCCATGACACTGCTGGCCTCAAACACTGCGGGCACGGAACAGTATTTTACTGAAGAGACATTTTACTTCGGCGGCCCAAATTTGGGTGGGGCAGGGCAAGTGGAGTACAATGACCCAAGCGAGCCCCACAGTCGTAACGCTGTTGTCAGTGCATGGAACGCGCGCGCACACTTTTCGCCCTCGCTGTGGTTTGCCAGAGCAACACAGCACCCACCAGACGCAGCACCGCAGACGCAAGTGAGCAGATCGTTCTCCGCACACGCAACGAACGGCAGTCAACGGAAAGGCACAACTGACGCCAAATCGGCCGCCAGAGGCCGGGACGCAGAAACCCAGCTTCCTTGCACCGAAATACAACCGAATGCAAGCACCGGTTGTCCTACAGAGAAGACGTCCTGCGCCTGGCCCTACAGCTATGCTGCACCTGACTTGTACGCTGTGCCACCGCCAAAGCTGAGGTTTGAGCTCACCGACTACCACGCAACGTTCCACCACACAAGTGGCGTCCCAAACTCCTCCATGTACATCAGTGAAAATGATCGACTTCAGTCAATACAAAAAGTACCACTTCCAACTCCCACAAATATTGCACTATACACGCCTGCACGACGAAGATATCCGGCAAAATGAAAAGAAAAAAAAAAGAGAGAGAAAATATATGTCAATTCCACATTCCAAGTATACAATGGCCGCTAAATCATCCTATGCACATCCAAGCTAATGCTTCAGCGAAACCAAACAAAAAAAATAATTGAGGCCGCATGCAAAATACTTTTTTTCCTTTATTTCCAAAACCCCTTCAGTTGCCTAAAAGTGTTACCAAAAGAGTATAAGAACAATTACAAAACAACAGCTCACCCTGCAATAATAAGAATTATTTTTTCTGCAGTCGAACGATGGCAACCCCGAAGCAGGTGGCGAAGAAGGCGTCGAAGAAGCGCGGCGGCAGCCGCTCTGCGAAGGCCGGCCTGATCTTCCCCGTGGGCCGCGTCGGCTCCCTGCTGCGCCGTGGCCAGTACGCCCGCCGCGTCGGTGCGTCGGGCGCCGTGTACATGGCGGCGGTGCTGGAGTACCTGACAGCTGAGCTGCTGGAGCTCTCCGTGAAGGCGGCGAGCCAGCAGGCCAAGAAGCCGAAGCGCCTGACGCCCCGCACGGTGACGCTCGCCGTGCGCCACGACGACGACCTCGGCACGCTGCTGCGGAACGTGACCCTGTCGCGCGGTGGCGTGATGCCGAGCCTGAACAAGGCGCTGGCGAAGAAGCACAAGAGCGGCAAGAAGGCGAGGGCGACGCCCAGCGCTTAGAGGACCCCCAGGCTCCTGCCGCAGAGACGGCGCATCCCGCTA